TACATTGTTTTTGCAATATATAAAATATATTGATATTGTTGTAAAATAATTTTCATGACATTTTCCCCTAGAATTTCCATTGCAAAAAGCACCTAGAAGTTGCTTTTTATGTTTTCAATGGTAATTCTCATTATATTGTCATTAATGTAATATAATTTTTTGTTTTGATTTTCTTACACACTGTAATAAAACTCTTTGTAGAATTTAATCTTCCAAAGTTAAAGGGAAGTATGTACATGATGTACAGTGATGTATAAATACATTTTAAAAGCACAAATTTATTTATACATTATATATACATTATTACATATATTTATACTGTATGGAGAATCAAGGGGGGAAATGTGCTTATTTGCTAAATTAAAATAAATATGTGATTAAAATTAATGTGCTTAATATCTCAAATAATGGTCCTAAAAATATGCTTAATTTTCTAAGTAAAATATTATTTCTTATTTTTTCCATAATATAATCGTTCTTAAGGTTTTGTGCGATTTACATTTACATTATTGACTGTATGTATGTGTGTGTTTGTGTGCATGTACACACAGGTAGACTCCCGCCTCCTACTTCCTTTTTTTTTCTGTATCCGTCTACTTGTTCTGTAAATCATTAATCATCCATGACTCAGAATGTCTGCTCTATTAATAACTGCCGCGATTTGTATTCACCTCATGGATAAGGCCTCTTGTTAAGGGCAGGGGAGACAGCTTGGACAGACACACACCAGTCTCTGCGCTCAAAAAACTGGCACGAACTCACACACACATACACACACATTCACACTCATGCAGTCAGACACTTGGCAATGGCATGGATCCCAACGCCAATTGAAATGGAAGTGTGACAGTGTTACAGGTAACAGGAACTCGTACAAATTCACATTCACTGAGTAAAGTGTAAAATTGCAGACGTACCTGCCAGATGACGAAGAAGATGAGGGCAGCGCACAACACGAGTGTTAACATGTAGCAAAAGGCCGCAAAGGTGAAGGCCATGGCTGTGCCAGCCAGCCTGACGGTGATCTGGGTCGAGAGAGGGCGAGGGGGAGATTTCCCCTGCTCTCTCTCTCTCTCTGTCACTCTCCTTACACTCTCACCCCCTTCAAGGAAGTTACAAAGCACTTCCCTCTTCTTCTGTCTCTCCTCTTAAAGCTCACGGTCCATCTTAGGATGAAGTCGGGAGAGAATTCGAGAGGAATCTTCTTGGTATGGAGCTGCAGATATGAGGCGTCTGGCTGGTTATCCGCCTCCGCTGGCTGGAGCGCCTTGTAACGTGTGGCTGGACAGTGTGTGTTCGTGTTTAATTCTTCCTCTCTGTCCACCTAAGATAACTGCTTGAGCTGTTTCCTCTTTTCAGTCTCTCTGCCATCTCCCCTGTTCCTTCACTTGCTCTCCTTCTGCCTCTCTGATTGGTAGCGAGGGGGGTTTGTATGTATGTGGAGAATCGCTCCCCTCCCCCGTCTCTAAGATTAGTGCTGCACACTGGGTCCACACACCTTATTTACAGCAGAACACCTTAAAAATATCTTGTGGGCACATCGGAGGATGAATGTCCTCGGTATACAATCTGAAAAACAGACAGTGATTCCAGTTGCACTCTTAAAAATAAAGGTTCCAAAAGGGAGTTTTGGCAGTGATGCCACAGCAGAACCTTTCAGTGAACAGTTCTTAAAAGAACCATTTTTTAAGTGTGAAGAATATTTGAATAATCTATATTATTAAAAGCCTTTGTGCAGTGGAAAGCTTCCATGGATGTTAAAGGTTCTCCATGAAACCATCAAAGCCAATTCAGATCCTATATTTTTAAGAGTGTATAAAGTAATGAATGGATGAATGTGTTGAACAGTAATTACAATTAGACACATTTTACCTGTCACAGTGTCATCATTTTAATCAATAACAGGACATGTATGTGGATCTAACTGACAGGTCTTACAATGATTCATATTCTCTCTTAGAATAAAAGATGATTGATCAGTTTTAAGTGCTGATGATTTGCTATTATGGATAATATGCATATATTAACACATTAATGACAACATAATCTTAATTAAACTCTTTTGGATGGAATTTGTGGCTTCAAAATTAGTCATTGAGACTGCAAGTGTAAACAAAAAAATTGTTTACTTAATATGGATTTGTAGCAAAAAGCATTTTTTATGATTATATATTGAACTTATTATCCTGAGTAATCTATGCAAGGCTTTGTAGACATGTGAATTTCCAAGACACTATTGCATTTATTTAAAATATTTACTGGTGGATTTGGCTGATGCAACAAACCAATTGATTTAGCCAAAAAAAAAAGTAAAATGTCCCAATTTTTTTATTTGCAGTTGTGTGTGAATCCATAACAAAACTGTAATGGTGTTCAATCCTTCTAAACAGTGTACACATGAATAATAAGACGTTCAAAATGACGGTGAAGAATGGCTAAATAAGTTAGCTGTGGTACATGACAGAATGAAAGAACAAGAGCATTTACCTGTGTTTTCTGAAGCAGCGGCGCAAGTCTGTCTATGTCTGTCCTCTCTCCCCTCATTTTCCTCCCATCAATCTGGGTCGACACCATGTCAGAAATCTCTGGTCTGCTTTGCTCTGAGTGTCAGTGTCGGTCCCATCACAGTCTCTCATTGGCTGCTGGGTGCTCTGTGACCAGGTATGAAACAGCAGAAAGAAGCCAAACATGCATGAATGCGCTGGCTGTATTTTTTTGTTTTATCTTATGCTTTTGTTCCCCTCGCAGCTTTCTGAAGTCTGACACTTAATTAACTTAGCGTTTTTCTCTTTTTCCACTTCATCTGCCTTACCCACTTACCCTCCGCTTTCTCTCGCTCTCATTCCTTCTCTGCCACTCTCAGTTTTTTACCAATTCAAGCATTCCCCGCTGGTATTTGATCTCAAAAGCAGAACCAATGGAAAAGCCCTTCTCGCTCGCCCCCCATCTCTTTGATTAGAATTAAAATGTGATGTTATTACCTCTGAACGCGATGCTCAACTACATTCAACAGTCTTCTCTTCCTCCGTCCCTCTATTTTATGCCCTACTCTCTCATTCCCTAGAGAGATATGAGGGGGCAGAGGGAGCTCCGAGTCTTTCTTCTTTGGCTTCCCTTGTTTGTCTCTCACTTTCTCTCTCCCATCCTCTTTTATTCTCTTACTACCTTCTTGATGAAAGTGCGTCTCTGTCACTGCAGGAGAGATGAAGAAAGGTTTGATTCTACCTCTTTCTTTGTAGTCAAATCTGCAGTCATGTTTCCAAAGATCATGGGTAGAAGAGAGGTATTTTATATCATTCACAATCTGTTTGTTTTTTTCACAGGGTTCCCACAAATTCCATTGCTGCCGCTTTCACATTCCAAGTCAGATACCAATCCTGGGAATTAATAGATTAATTATTATAATATTATAATTATAAGAAGAGATTAAAATGATAAAAACTTATTACAAGTTGTACAAATATATCCAGTAAAACAAAAATGTATCTACAGTAGAACATAAATTATGCTCATATTCTAAACTATTTTAAAAATGGCATTATATGTTCCATAATATTATTATTTATTATTATTATATTGTATTCGTATTATTATTCATTAAAATCTATAATAATAACATATAAGTAGCACTATTTTACATGTTCTTGTTACACATTACATGCACTTACTATAGTAATAACAGTAAAGTATGCATAATTACAAGCAACTAACCTAATTCTTCTACTTCTTATTTCCAGTTTTTCCATAACTGTAGGAAACCTGCATAAAAAAGGTTCATATAGTAATATATCACACCTTTGAATATGTCTGGGTTTCCTGCCATCTCAATTGTATGGTGTCAAATCCATTTTCAATGAATACTCCCTGGGGATCTTCTTTTTCTTCTCTCATTAGCCATGTTTTCAAATCATCCCCACAATGTCTCCATCTTTGTTTATTGTGTGTTCTTTAAAGCGTGGGAAATATTGAAATTTGATTGGCTTTCCTGCTCCCCGGGGAGAAGAGACTGAATCATTCCAACATTAAGAATTCTGATTTGCTTTTATTGCTTATATTACTGCAGCCATATAGGCAGCACTCTCTGTTTTTCAGGAAGACTGACAAATATCCTAAAGCACATACAACACCTTTGACAGATATTTCCAGCGTGCTCTTCTAATGGAGTCCAAGTGTACCATCTGGTGGATTCTTCCACACTCAGAAAGCATCTTCTCTGTGTCCTTCACGAAATGCTATTTTAGGGCAACTGCAAGTGATTTCAGTTACTTCAGTGCTGATATTGTGTTTTAGATTTTTTAAAGATATTTATATTCAATCTATGATCAATTACAACTTATTACAAAACTCTTTGAAAACAATCAATATTTTTGCGTTCCCATGCAGCTAGTGTTTCTAATTCTTTAAAGTCTTAACCAGGGGGCCGGGAGGGCCCCAGCACACTTCCAAGAAGTCTGCAAGATAAAAAAAAAGTGGTTAAAATACTTTTATAAAAGTATTAAAAGTATAAAATATTCTTTATAAAAGTTAAGAGTCAAGCGCCTACCTAAAACGGCTCACTCAAGCCGGCCTCCGCTCACTCAAGGCCGCGGTGTGTGACGCCGTGTTTCGTTGTGAAAGCTACTTTGTTTGGTCTTCCAAAAGAGGACACGACTAGAAATCAGTAGTTAAGTTGTATTTACAACACTGTTCCTATTTTTAGCAGCATCATATGACCCCTTTAAAGGGAAACTTCAAAAAAATAATAATAATTGAGACTACTCACCCTCATGTTGTTGAAAACCTGTCTGACTTTTATCCATGGAAGACATTTCCCTAACATTATGCCTAGCCTAGAAAGTCCCTTTCCTTGCTAGTATCTAATATCTTTTGTGTTTAAGTGAAAAAGTGAAAATTATAGGATAAAAACTCCAAATAGAAACAGATTATAATACTTTCATCCAACAGTAACTGTAATCGCGTGACAACATGCAGAATCTCGCGCTGATGTTTAGTAAGCGTCAGTAGACCCAGTGTTAGTGGGGAACGGAACCAAAAGTCCTCAGGTTGCGCGTTACACCCGGACGTAGTTGTGTGCGACAGTAACGTGGAGATCTATTTTCATTTAGTCAGTAACTCCAAAATCACTCGTTTTCATTCAAATGGCTGCTAAAAGCCAAATATGCTCAATATGGCTTGGATCCGAAACTGGAATATTAAAAGGTAAGGTGTTTTTCGTCTCTTTGTCGACATATTGTACACTTTTTCTGACTAGCTAGCTAGCCATGTTTAGTACACGTGAGTTGGCACCACATATGTGCCATTTAATTTGCTTGAGGGCCACTGAACTAATGATTTGTTATTATCCATATTTCATTTCAAGGGGTGAGTTTAACCAAAAAGCAGGCGTTTAACTTTTGTGAGATGAGCTGCTTGAGTCGAGATCAGGAGGGTTGTGTGATGGCATGGGGAGACCCTCAAGAATCAGAGGTGAGAAAGACAGAGAACTGGAGTAACAGACTTCATCACCATGATTTAGTGACTGACAGACGCTGTCTATGTGTGTATGTCTTTGCAGGTGTTAGTGGGCAGTGTGAACGGCACTGTGAAAACTTTCAGCACAGATAAGGGAATCTTCACAGCGACCAGAGAGTGTGGAGATCCTTCACAGGGCAGGTTCACAGGACTGGCTGTCACTGACAGGTGGTTGCCAATGTCATGTTATGCTCATCTCTGCAGGGGCTGATGAATTACTGGATGTTTTGTTGTTTTGCATAGATGTATTTTAGGAATGATGGACTTTCTTTCCTTCTTTTCCAGTTCTTTGATTACATGTGTGGAGTCAGGACTGCTGAAGGTGTGGAAGGAAGGCAGTACAGAAACAGTAAGTCAGTGTGATTTCAGTGTCCTGCAGTGTGGTGGGCTATATATAGACATTTTTCCCCCAATTTACTTTATAAATATTATATATGCACTTGTATGGCTTTGTTAATTATAAATACTACTTGAAATGTCTCTACTTTTAAAAATGTATCAAATTGCAGGACTTTTTACTAAACATTACAATGTAAACATGCTGAAAAAATGAAATCAACACCAATCTCTGCATCTAGAAATGAATCTCAGCAGATTCATGGTGAATTTCAGGAACAAATGTAATAAATTGATCAAATAATACAACTTTTGTATTATGTAATCAGTGTATATATAGGCATTATATTTTTCACTTGATTTGTTTATCTGTTGCAGTGATAAAGTAGACATTAGGTTGCCTTTCTGTACAGTACAGTAAAAAAGGATTTTGTCCCCATAATATGATCCCATAAACAGCTCAATATCACAGAAAATATATATTAAATTTTTACTGTCATTTATCACTTTATATTAATTATAATGACATGATCTTGAGAAATGAACCAGTCAAAAGGAGTTTCTAATAGTTGCGTCTTTATTGCGTGTATATTTGTTCATTTTTATTTACTTATTGTAGGTCAGATGAGGAGTCTGACTGTTTAAGAGAAATGGGAGAGGATGTTTTATTGTGCTGTTTTCTGTCTCTAAAACACTAAAAACACATAAAGTGACCCAACACTGACTATTTTACTTGTTCCTTATATAGCTAGTAGCAGTACTGCTTCTACATTTTGAAGATTGAAGATTAGAATTGAATAATGTATGATGATCTCTTCATCTTTATGATAATTTTGTTGAGTCTTAAGATAGATGTGGACTTATAGTAAATCTGATCCTCAGCCAACCTCATCTGTCTCTGTTCTGAGGTTGAGGTAAATGTTGGAAATGGAATATGCAGAATGCAACAGAACCCATCACAGCGCCATCGTGTGGCTACAGGGGGTAAAGAGAACCCGCTGAGAGTCTGGGATCTGGAGAGACCAGATAAGCCAATATTCACAGCCAAAAATGTAAGGCAGAAGAAGAAAACTATAAGCTTTTTAGCCCCCAGTAGTTGATTTCTGTGTTTCAAGCTCTACCTTTTTTCTTCAATCCGTCAGGTAGCCCAAGACTGGTTGGATATGCGAGTGCCTGTGTGGGTGAGAGACATTGGCTTCATCCCAGATTCAGATAAAATAGTCACATGCACCGGACACCAACAGGTTTGTCTTTACTCTGGCTTTATCCATGCGTGCTTCTCTACTGTTGTTTCTTACAAGGTATCTATACTGGACATCTGGAATAAATTGTTACTTTAGAAATATCATATATCAGATTTTTTGTTTACAGTGAACATCTGAAATTATGTACACTATCATTCAAAAGTTTTACCAATACTGCATTTATGTGAAAAAAAAAAATCAGTATAAACAGTAATACTGTGAAATATTGTTTAAAATTAAAATAACTATTAGAATACATTTCAAACAGTAATGTATTTCTTTGATGGCAAAGCTGAATTTTCAGCAGATGGTCCTACAAAATTCTTTTATTATCAGTGTGGAAAATGGTTGTGCTGCTTAATATTTTTGTAGAAACAATTATTTTTTTTCAGGATTCTTTGATGAATAGAAAGTTCAAAAGAACATAATTTTATTTGAAATTTTTTAACATAAAATGTCTTTACTGTCACTTGCCTTTTTTTAGATGAAACTTTTAAATGGTAGTGTATTTAATTGAATTCTAGATGTTTCATCAAAAGCAGCATGCAGTTCAGAGTAGTGTTTTGGTTTTAGCTGAATCAAGTAAAGTAATGAATCATTTTAATACAAAATCATGTAAAATAATCTATATGAAGTCAGTATTTATACAAATGAATTTCTGTTTGATTTCATTTATTTGGTTTTACTAAACCTTCAGCTTGTAGTTGATTGGTTGGTGTAAGTAAAACACATCCTCAAGCCATCATCAGCTGTTTTAAAATGAAAAATGTTTTGTTTGTTAGTTAGATTTAATAGCTATGAAAGATCCTGAAATAAATTGTGAGCTGATCATGTTTTTGCAGCTTGTCCCTAACCCTTTGCTATTGTATTTATTAATGTCTTCCTTTGTGTCTTAAGGTTAAAGTCTGTGATCATACATGACTCAAAATATCTTGCCCTCTCTGTTCTGCTCCTCCTCCGTCAGGTGCGCGTGTATGACCCCTCGACGCCTCAGAGAAGGCCGGTGTTGGAGGCTCGGTTTGGAGAGTACCCGCTCACTGCGCTCTCTCTTCCTGCCAGCCGGGGCACAGTGGTCGTGGGCAACACTCACGGGGAGCTCGCCATCCTTGACCTCCGGAAAGGTAAGCAGTAGGTGGATGCTCCGTTTATTTTTTCTCTTCGGCAGGTTTGGATCTGCACAAAAGCGATTGTTTTGAACTGAAGCTCCATTGCTCAGGGCTTTTTGTCCTGGATCTGTGTGTTCCAAGTATAAAGGATGTATTTGGCCAGCCGTTCTCCGTATATGCACTGCAATATTATTGAACTCCTGAGAGTGTTGTTTTGTCTGACCCCATTTTCTTCTCTCTCTGCCTGCAGGGCTTGTGTGTGGCTGTCTTAAGGGTCTGGCGGGGGCAGTGCGGGGTTTGCAGTGCCATCCTTCCCTCCCATTGGTGGCCTCTTGTGGTTTAGATCGTTTTCTGAGAGTACACAGCCTGGAGGACCGTTCTTTACAGCACAAGGTATGAATGCACAAGAAACCAGGTTTTTTTTCTCCATTCTCCCTGCACTTCTTCTTTCTCATTCTCTCTGCAGATTTCTGCATAGCCCCTCTCCTCTTATTTCCATCTGATTGCATGTACCATATAATCAGAAGTGCCTCCCACTCAGTGTTATGTTTGTATAAATGAACATATTTTCTCTGTGCAGGTATATCTGAAGTCACGACTCAATTGTGTGCTGCTGTCTAGCAGAGAACTGGAGGTAAGCGGCGGTTCAGTGTCAGAGGGAGCATCGTTTTGATGATTCGCTTTTATATAACTGCCTATCAGCAGTAATAACAATGGAAGTTGCTTTCTCGTTGATGCCTTTATACTGCATCCTAATGACTTTGTTAAACGTTTGACTCTTTATGTGCTTTTCTCTTATAGTCATCAAGTGCTGATGATAGTGGAGATGTAGAGGAGGTGAAAGCAGAGGAGGATGAGGTTTGGGATACCATGGAAACAGTGACGGAGAAGACAAAAAAGAGGGCCGCCCAGAAAGACGAAGCAACTGTTACTGGAGTAGATGGGAAAAAGAAAAGGAAACTAGTGAAAAAGTGATGTAAAGTAATTTCTAATGGACATTTTTATCATTTTATATACAGTTTATGTCATGTCTTGAGTAAAACTGTATCAACAGTGGCCAAGAACAAACTTAAACCTGAGAGGCTGTTTAATATGGATATATAATAATAGGTGCAGGTCATTTTTTTGGTCCATTAAGTGAATTTGAACATGAAATAATCTGAAATGTGATACTAAAATTGCATTTGAAATGTCAAAACTCTGCTTAACTGGAACAAGTGAACCAGTTTATGTAAAAACAATTTGTCCCGTTAATCACTTTATTTCTATATTGAACAGAATTTAATGAAGAATCTGTATACCATAAACACAGAATCTTTCAGAAATATGTGTTCATTCATCATTTTCTGGCTCAGTTGAAAATGTAATGTAACATTAGAAGTGTGCACTTCAGAAAATATTTTCTACAGAAACCCCAGTTAAAATGGTTTGGCCTGTTATGTGTTAAAGGCTCTAAAATACTACTTTATATGAAGTTAAAATTCTTTCCCAAGGCCTATTTATAGTATCCTTTTCACAATTAATTTGATGTGCATTTTACTGAGATAAGAATATAATTTTGAATCTGTGCTGGTCTAAAGACCTTGACTTGACCGTGAATGACCACACATACCTGTGCTTGTGTGGGTGTGTGTATTACACATTGCGTTATGCACACTTAAACACACCCTATTCTAGCCTCTCTGATAAGATAAGGGACATCTTGGTTAGCACTGAAACTGTCGACTTTGTAAATGAGAACATTAGTAGCTAATGACTGATTTGTGAAGCTGTACATTTCAAAAACATTACATTTGAAAGTACTGTTCTGTTATAACTAACGAGGAATCACATAAAATTAGAAAATAAATTCTGTCCAAGCTTCTTGTATGGTAAAATGTACTTTTAGATCTGATTATAGACAGTGATGTTCAATGAATGAAATGTTGTTTCCATGTGTAAGCCATGGCGTTTAGTGCATCTAATAACTAAGTGACACCTTCAACGTGACACATACTTTACCATGGAAACATTTTAAAGGAGCTGAAGAGCAAAGGGCATAAAATATAGAGGGGGTGATGAAGTATGACAACATGAACTGAACCCTGAGACCTTGCAGGGTGGAGGGGCAGTATTCCTGACTGCTGACTTGCACTAAAAAACCAGAAGCGTGGCTTTATATGCAGGACGACAGCCTCAAAATTTCCTGTATGGTTCTGGTAAATTTTGAAAGCCAAAAAACATTGCATGTTTGTGGTTTGACCCTGTGCTCTATAACAAGGTCGTAACCACTGGAAAGATTTCCTTTCCTCTTGATTTCCTCCTTTAAAGTGAGGGAAATAGCTGAAATTAACCCCAGAAACAACCATCGCATTACATTACACATCATGAAATGCATTTATCTTACAGGCCTGTAATTATTTAAGCATTTTCCAACAGACTGAGTACAATGTAAGATTGTGTGTCTGTTTTTTAATTATTATTATTTTACTGTAAATCCAGTCCCAAAACTCTTATCACTAGAAACACAACAGATTTCGACCCAATTACATCCAGACTTCCCCCTGCCTAGGGTACTATATTATGTGCTTAGATTGGAGTATTTTGTCGTGGTACAATTAATTGACACGCCATTCTTGTGTTTGACAATCGAAATTCTTTCACACAGTGTGCACTTCTGTGCTCTTTAACCGAACAATGGCAATAATTAACCCTCTCTTATGAGCATTTTATTGTCCTGTTATAAAGCCTACTTTTTCATTCTTTGATCAATGTTTAGAGTCCATAGTCTACCGTAATTTATCTATTCTAATCATGCAGCATTACCTCATGTTGTGCCATTACCAGTAATTAAGACGTTGACCTACATCACACATTTGCTGATTTATAAATCAAGCCAGTGACTCACAGTAGGTGAATATACCATATGAATATGCAAAAAATAAGACTTTATAATAGTTTTCGTGATATTTAAGAAACAATTATCTGATTCTCTAAAAAACAAGTTAAACCGTTGCGCCCTCTAGTGGTTTATTGTGTTTATAGTAAACTGGCAAGACGTCTGTTTGGCCCACAACATTTGTATAGTCCATTTTAATGAAATGTGTTGCTTTGAAGTGTTTTAAAAATATAAATGTACCTAAAAGCATCCAAAATAGATTCTTAAGATAGAAAGTGTATAAGTCCATAGGAGTCCAGGATGTTGGATTTGAGGGGCAGGGCCAAAAAGATGTTAAATATTGACAGGGAGTGTAATTATTAACTAAACTTCAACTCCAAATCACTTTTAAACTGGCCTCTCTCGGCCTGACATAGCACTGCTGACCTACGCTCCCCTCTCACCCGCTGGCTCTCTCGTCGTGCTGTCACTAACTTTGCTGTTTTCAGTTCCTTTTTCATTTTTTATAGCCATATTTTGCTATGCTTCTGTTAATTCTTTAATCTCTATATTCAGAAGAATTTTTTTTTTGTTTGCATTGTTTCTCTTTTTTTTCTGGTATGGACTCCCACGAGGAAGAACTGAATGTAAGTAACTCTTTATTGAAAATAAAGTAATGGGCGCACATGTAAGGAACATGGAATGTATCATTTTTGAGAAGTTGTATAAATATTTGTATAAAAAACCCCAGCAAAATTCATGTGAGGTTCACATCTTTGCCTCGCCTCTCTGCAATTACGCTGATTCATGTAGGAATTTTCAATGTTAACTTCTGTATGTTTGTTTGTAAAAAGCTAGATTAATATCCTAATGTAAATATACCTGCATTGTCTAACAAAATGAAGCTAATGCTTTTAAAGAGGAAGGGAAAAGAATGCAAAAGGCTTGTGTTCGGCCTTCAAACATTCTAAACATTACTTTCCAAGAACAGGATCTTACAACGATCCATTACAAGGGTGTAGAGTAAGTTTAGTCTGAAAACCTTTCAACTTTTTCTTTTCATCAAATGAAGTCAATTGCATGTTACTGAAATTCAGATGCAAATAAATGGCAGTTTTAAGTTGACTCAATTCATGTTTATACAACAGTCACAATTTAATGTACTGTCATGTCAAATGTTTAGCTGTCGTTTTCTTTTCTACAAAGTAGATTTGATAAAATACATGTGAGTTTTACTCCGATATCAAGTACCACAATTGGGAATTGTCATAAAAATTAACCACCTACATATGTTCATGCCATTGATTTTCTCTCACCCTACACAAATGTTGGATACGGCGCAGGGATGAGAAAGATAATGGTGGATTCAAAAGATGATAACAGGAGCAGATAACACAGACTGACTCATGTGCTGTGTGCCCCTTTAATTGCTTTATTATGCTGTTTTTCCAAAGGTAGCAAGGAGCAGTGGGAGGTTTACAGCAAGGCAAAGTCTAAAATATGATATAAATTAAGAAACCAAAAGGAGAGAAAGAACAATATAGAGAATGTGGGATGGGTAACTCATGACTAAAAGGAAGCGATATCTACGAAATTAAAACTTAGGGACATAAAGGCACATAAATTATTGAGCGACACACCCTTTTTTCTCTCAGCCCATACACAAATTCTGCCGAGCACCCTCATGTTGACTGCCATCATAAAATTGCTGTTATCAAGATCAGTCTTAGCACTTTGGACACGCTGTTGGCCAATAATGGAGTCTATGGCATGTCATAAAGCTGAGAAAGAAACAAGAGGTCAAAGTCATGAGCCAACAGAGGAACTCTCACATGTCCTTAATGGCAGTCATTAGCCATTGTCTGAATCCTGATTTAACCCTCTAACTTGGTTTTCTGTGCTTTCATTTCAGGTGGCACCGCTTCTTTTTTTTGGGATCTTCTTCTTTTCTATTTATTTATTTATTTTTAGAAAACTTGAAGAAGTACCCTATAGGGTGAGAATGGGACATAGACTAACATTTGTGTGAGAATGAGTGCACTTCCTTCTGCTGTCCAAAGGGGGAGCACTCCAAAGATTTGGTGCTGACTGGTTGTAACAGCAACTCCATGTGGAAGGTTTGTGGCTTCCAGTGGAGCTGCTGTTGCGTGCAGATAGTCACCTTTATCTCCTTTGGTCCTGCATGAAAATACAGTCTTAATTAATTGTCTGGATTCAATTTATGCGGCTGTAATTTCATATGCATGTTGGTGGAAAGCATGTTTAACCCAGGGTCTAGGACACAGGGTGATGACCTATGAATTGACAGCCAGTGTTTGCAGTCCAGCTGCCTGTCAGTTCTGTAGGCCACTGTTCTGTTTATCCTACTAAAAACACACTGATTTGCACAGAGAATGCAGGGCATTGTATACATGTTGGACTATAAATTTTTTTGGGTAACATTTATGTATATGTTTTGATGTAGCTATTACAACATTATTTATTTGATATTATATTTACTTATTCGTTTTATTTTACTGTATTTAATTTCATTTAAACATTACATTATTTCATATGTTACAAACATTACTTCTTTGATATTAAATAAATGTGACTTTCACAGGATATGTAATTATGTGTTGTGCCTTTGCTCTCACTCGTTTCATGATATATCTTATGTTTCTTCGTCATCTTCTTTGCATACATTTAATTTATACATTATTTACACCATTTTCCAAAATCAATGTTGCCATGACTTAAGATCCATTCACACCAAGAACGGTAAGAATAATGATAAATTAGCTATATAATAATACTATACTATATTAATACTATAATGGCATCCACACCAACGCATGATGAAGTTCTGTTTATTATAGGCACACACCTGCTGCTACAAATGCTCAATTTGGATATTGATTGGTTGTCAAAAAATTGCTCTGAAAGTGATTCCAAATATTGTTCCTCTGTCGTCATCTTTATAGTTGCTGTGTAGATTTACCTTTTCCAACAGAAATAAAATGATTATTAAATCTTTACAGTTATCATCCTTGGTATCAATGGGCCTTTAGTCACAGTTTGAATGAGCCATTGAAAAGAAAGTATGGTCACTGACAAAATATGCCACTTCATCTACAAACAACCTGATTTCCTGTAAATGTCAGCCTGCTTTCACTTTCAGTTTTGTTTTGCCCAGATTCACCCCCCCTTTCCAAAATGTCAGGGGAGTCTTAGATTTACACTTACCAACATGTAGGGACAGGTCATTGAAAATGTTGCATTATAAGATTGCTGATTAAAAAAATATATAAATTAGTTAAATAATGTTTTTTTTAATTGAAAACTTGTTTGTCTGCATCCCTTTCTGACACTCTGAGGACACAATTGAAGCATTGGGAACTCCCTGCAAACCACAGAGAATTCTGCAGACTTTCATTTTCAGCTCTGATACTGTGATATAAAGAGGCCTCTTGTGTTCTTTCTTGGGTGATTTACTTTTGTTGATTGTAAGCCCCAAACAAAGGATTTCCAAATAATTTGTATCTTTCTTTTCATACCTAAAGTTTCAGATTAAAAGAACATTATAGAGTCTTCACTGAGTGTAGTGGGTGACAAGTATCATTTCATATGAGCCCCTTATGACAGTGTCAAATTTGGCACAGACTCAGACCAGCAACTGCACTCTCCTGAAAGTCCAAGACAAATATAGCCGTCAGCCAGTTACACACTTAATAGAAAATCCCCCACCCCATCCTCAAAAACAGGAACATTACTGTACTTACTGTAAGTTTGTCATGTGAAATTCATACTATACTTTTGGAATGAAGTTGCCATTGATTCAATATATATATATAGTGAATGACGTGACATGTGGCCAAGTATGGTTACCCATACTAGGAATTAGTGCTCTGCATTTTAACCCATCCAAAGTGCACACACACAGCAGTGAACACACACACACCGTGAACACACACCCGGAGCAGTGGGCAGGCATTT